CCATTTCGATGAGTTAAGCAATATTGTTCAGCGGACTCTCTCGCCATTCCGTTCCTCACAGGGCCATTTACAGTTTTCAGGCTTCAGCGCTCTAGTTGGGTATTGTGGTAACTAGACGTAAAGTGCTAGCTTCACGGGAAAGTCATAACTGATACAGCTCTTGCGAGCATTGCTCTAAGTGTGCGTGCGCACCCTGGAGCCATGTGTCTTTGCGGATTCTGCTAGACTTAGCAGGGTCCAGAGCTCTCCGATCCCACTCTGTCCAACTAAGCTATTTCCCAGAGAGGGAAGCATCCATTGGCCATGGATGCGTACTTGCAGCAAAGGTGTGGTGTTCACAAGCTGTTCCAACACGTTGTTTCCAATGAGTCAACGGCTCCGAGTCAAGTGCCCTACTGGGCTCAAATGCCCTTCAGGGATTCAAGTCAAGTGCACTACAGGAATTCAGTGCACTATTTGGGTGTTCTTTCCCACCGAGATTTCGTCAGGGCATGTGAAGTCAGACCGTGCGTTCGTTATCTTGAATTTGTGAAACTTTTACGCCTGACCCTCCTCAAGGGTATGCAGTAAAAACCTACCAGTATGAGAACACGTTGAATTGCGTTTGGTAACCTTGCAAAGCAGCGTCATCACAACTGTAATGCGTCGTGCTAGATCTGGCGCAGATAAAGCTCCAACTGGATGATTTTTTTTGTCACCCTGTTAAACCTGCATTGGGCTCTAGAACAAGAGTGCTGTTCGACCAAAGTTTGTCGAAACCTGTGGCGTGCAAAGTGGGTGCTGTCTTAGTCAGACTTGGCTTTGTAGAAAAACCACTACAAAACTTTTGTGCATACCTGTGCAACAGGTCTTTGGATAATTTTTAGATGTCAGGACAGGTTTCAGTTGGTTTCAGTTGCTTGTGATGTAAACAGGTCGCATCAAGGCAAAGACATGTGAAACTAATCAGATTGGAGCTATTTCCAAAGTGGTTGAGCATTTTTGAATCAGTTGCACTGTTTTGGTGTTAGATGTGCGTAGCATGAGGACTTTCCACAGCAAAACATGTCATTTTGATCTCTACACGCCACCGCACCATTGTATGTCGGGCCCAATGATCCCAATTTTACGCAAGATGGGTTACACACCATCCCACACCCTTCAGAATCTCGTGTCTTGAGACACTGTTCATTCCCGTACTTATATCTGAAACTACCGTGGAGAAAGTTCCACAGTTTCAAGAGCTGGACAGGTCTGAAAACCACTGAAACACTGAGCGTGAGAACACAGGCACCATCCTCATGTAGACAAATTCAACATTGTTCCAGAATAAATATATAAGCACATGATTCTTGCGCGAGAATTAAGTGGTGGAGCCAAATGTTTCAAGATTTCGACCAATTGTCAATGTGGAGTTTCGGGCGGGCGATACATCAAGTAATTTTCGAGAGTTTCACAGTGAAACATGGCTGTGTGGCCTCAGGTTCCATCCTAGTACGTGCCTCGGAGATGCCTTGATTTGGCATAACCTGTGGTACACTGGGCAACGTGCATTAGTAATTAGTTCGCATTCCCACTCTGGCTGCTGAGACCATGGCCTGCCGTCATGGTGCCAGGAGGTGCCAGCAGATCCCTTGTAATCTTTCGCATCCCAGTTGCCATTGCCAGGCCCAACGGCTTTGTGACGAGCTCGATCCTGCAAAGAGTGGTGTTGTTTGGAGACTTGGAATTTTGAGTTTTCCTTGCTAGTTCGCTGAAATATACTGCGCGTTTCCTTGCTTGTTCCGTTCAGGTGACACTGGCATCTATCCTCGAACCAGCCCAGCCACCACCTGAAGCCAGAGCCCGAGAGAGGCCCACACTGGCCAATAAAACTCAAAAACTTCTTAGAACCAGGCAAGAAGGGTTTGGCCAGACAGTTTATTAGAGGCTTTTGGTGTTTCAAGATGTTTCAAGTCTAACCCAAATCTGAGTCTTGCACTGAGGCGTGCTACTGGAAGCTCACCATTGTGAACAACTGGGGTTCGACGAAGCGACTGCAGGCAACGTTGAAGTTGCTTCCTACTGTGTACTGTAATTATTCTTGGTTAGCTGCAAGAAGTACGAAGGGCTGGGTAGGTAGTAGTAAGATGTAGTAAGATGTAAGTGATGTAAGATGTAGCAAGGAGAAAGACTTCGCTAGCACCTGAGTAAGCCACGTAAGCCACGTGGAAGCTTCAATTCTTCAAGGAAACTTCCACCCCAGAAAAGCTTCAGTGCGTTTCGGCAGGGCAGTCTCGTTGCAGAGTTGCTCTTTGAGTTCACAGTGTGTTCAACCATCCAGGTCATGTCACCCTTGAGATTGACTACCCTTATCCAGGCTCCGAGAAAGAATGAATTGTCATTGTCTGCAGTTTGAAGGTCTGAAGGGCGAAGAAGACAAAAGAATCACTACCCCAGGTACAAACAGGAGGATTGTCTCGGATGAGGGCTTCCTTCATCGACCATCAGGCATGTTCATCTTAGACTCAGAGCCCCAACATCACCTAGTTGAATTTGCATTTGGCTCTAGCTTTTGTGTTGTTTCTATGTATTTGTGAATGCTGTCGCCGTCGTTCGGGCCGCTTTGAGTGGAGAGCCTTTTTGATAGGCTGGCCATCTTGCAGGCAGGCCTGCTGCACTCCTCAGTAGGATATCATAATATATCATATAACTATATATAGAATATTATATAATTACATAAATTACATACTTATAATATAAGTAGAGAGAGTCTCCGACATTCTCACCTGATTGCCCCAAGATTTTGCCTCATGCGTCGATTGCGGCCAGAGTTGAGTCGGTCCCACTTGTCACTTGACTGTCGCTTGAGCAGGTGACTCATTGATTCGGGCGTTCGATCTAGAAACCCTGGGCCCAGAGCTCATAACTTGTTCAGTCTTTTCTTGTGAGAGAGCGAGAGGAATGCGAGAAATGGTTTGAGAAGTTTAGATACTTCCTCACAAGATCGGGATCCCTATGTACGGAAACAGAACCCCGTCTCAACATATCTCAATTATATATAAATAAATATATATATATATGTCACTTAGGTGTTGACTCTGAAGCTGTACAACTCCGCCGATTAGCCAAGAAGTGTGCAGCACATCCATTCGGGAAAAACGAATGCGTCTTCATTATCCGGTGCTTGGGTTGTTTGAAGGGCATGGATGTTCTTGTGGAGCTTGCTTGCACGAGCTTGAGGTTTGTTCTACAGTAGATTTCCCAGCAAGGTTTTGGGTCGTTTGCATCACAGGTACAGCATCAGCATTCTAGACATTGAAGACATGCACCGTCTGTTTTCCAATGCTACATCGGTCAGAAGCTTAGAATCCCTCAGAGTCTGTGAGGTGCTTTCCTCATAATTCTGCAAGTGCACGAGTGCTAGGATGGAAAAGTCATTGTGCAGTCAGAGCAGGGCCCTCAGAGTCGGCAAAGCAGCTTTGAAAATCTTTTCATCTGAGTGCAATAAAGAAGATTTGGATCATTCTAAAGGATCCTATAGGGGAGGGGAGGCCATCGCTACAGGTTGGAGGCCATCGCTACTAGGTTGGAGGCCATTGCTATGAGGTTGGAGGCCATCGCTATGAGGTTGGAGGCCATCGCTATTAGGTTGGAGGCCATCGCTATGAGGTTGAAGGCCATCGCTATCAGGCTGGAGGCAATCGCTATGAGGTTGGAGGCCATCGCTATTAGCTTGGAGGCCATTGCTATTAGGTTGGAGGCCATCGCTATGAGGTTGCCATCGCTATTAGCTTGGAGGCAATCGCTATTAGGTTGGAGGACATGCTATGAGGTTGGAGGCCATCGCTATTAGGTTGGCTATTGCTATTAGGTTGGGGGCCATCGCTACAAAGTTGGAGGCCAACGCTATTAGGTTGCAGGCCATCGCTATGTTGCAGGCCATCGCTATGTTGCAGGCCA